TCCAGGACTCGAACCTTGGTCGACTACATGGGAGTCCAGCGACATAGCCATTACACTAACTGCTGGTCCCTCCTCTCAGGATCGTGAGCACACATGCACACGTTGCACGGCATGAAGTTTAAGCCCCCAGGTCCAGGACTTGAACTATGTTCCACTATGTGGGAGTCCAGTGACATAACCATTGCTCCATTTACTGATCCCTACCCTGCCCTCTTGAAGCTTAGCATCAGGATGGTAGAAGCTAAAAGCTTATATATAATCTTCTGTGTCCTTAGAGAAAAAGAAGTTAAATGCTAGAAAATAAAGTGCTTCTCAGTTCCCATTTTGTAGCTTTAGATTATACTACTTGGAATCTTAAGTGAGACAGACCACCTGCTAAATTATTTAATTGCTTTAAGGAATGAAATGATATAATTTGTGATGGCTTTTCAATTAAGAAATGAGTAGGTAATTTAAAGCCAGTTGCCAGTTGTACAAATATGTTCTTCATTTGTCTAAATGCTTATAATTTTTTAAAACAATTATTTATTTTATTTTATTTTTATATATTATTTAATTTTGCTGTAGGGCTTGTGTGCTCACCAGAGAGAGAAAGAGAGAAAGCAAGCTGCCAGGTCCTGTATTCAGACTGCAGTGGACCATGTGGGATTCTAGCACTTTAACCACCACGTCCAAACCCAAATGCATATAATTTGTAGCATACATTTTTGGGATTGTTTTGAGACTATCATGTAAAACTTGTCATAAAGTATTAAATTTTAGTTCTCCCAGTAGCTGTTCTCATTCTGAAGACCAGGAGAATCAGTTTTTATCTTTCTTTAAAAATAAGCCCTTGAGGGGCCAGCAGGTGGCGTGGTGGCACTGGACTTGGTTCTGGCTCCTTGAAAGTCTTGCAGGGCACGTGTGTGTACTTATCCAAAAATCCCAAAAGGAGAATGGAGGAGAAGGTATTGCAGCATGGCCATCCCCCCTTGGGGGTTGATTTTTCACTTTCCCTTTTTCTGTATCTATCTCTGTCTCTCTGGGATGAGCGCATGCACCCTATGGCAAAAAATATAAAGAAATAAAGCCTTTGGAGTAAAAATTTAAAATGTAAAAATGAGAATAAAAGCATAAAGAATGGTAATAAATCTCCAGGGATAATTCTGAGACAAGCATTTAAAGTCTATAACTCTGTGGACCACTTTCCACAATCAGTCAATCAGGTATCTAGCAAAAAGAATATAAAAAGTAGTGAAATAACCCTGAGTGTCAAGTATTCCCATTACTAATACATCCAGCTCAGCATGTTCATTTATCACATGAATGAATAATGAGCAGGGCACCTTTTTCTTAATAACTGTGTTTTTTGTTAGTACGGGTAAAACTTGGTCTGAAAAATGGCATACATTGGCTTATATTCCTGTGAAAGCCGTAAATATATTCTAGTGTTCTCAGGGACATGGAAGATCTTACATTTCAGTGCTTTGTTTATATTTCTGTCATTATTTTGAGAATGCCTTTGGAAATATTCATGATAATATCCTCATGAATCACCAACAGGGAAAGGTAGCAGGTTAGAAGAGAACGGATACAGGACCCAGGCTGACCTGCTCAGCTGTGGGACAGAGGGACCCGCGGTAATGAGGTGTCGGTTTCCAGGCTGGGACTGAGGACAGGGAGATAGGCATCTGGGAGAGGGCAGAGGAGCCGAGTCCTTGCCGAGGAACACGGAAATCCGAGCCACGCTGATAAGGCCCGGGGACGCTGCGAGGTGGAGTTCGCCTGTGGTAAAAGCTCAAGAATTGCTAGAGCAGGACCTGCAGTTAGTGTCATGGCTATGTCGCTGGACTCCCATGTAGTCGACCATGGTTCGAGTCCTGGACCCGTTGGCTTAAAATCATGCCGTGTGCTTGTGTGCCCAAGATCCTGAGAGAAGAATGGAGGAGAAGGGATTGCGGCATGGCCATCCCCCCTTGGGGGGTGATTTCTCGCTTTCTGTCTGTCTCTCTGTCTGTCTGGTGAGCGCATGTGCCCTATAGCAAAAAACCTCTCCAGAAAAAGAAAGGGGGGAAAAAAAAAAAGAATTGCTAGAGCAGGTTTGTGCGTCCAGGCCAGTGGCAGCGGGTGCCAGAGATGAGAAGGCTGGGAGGAGCAGCACTGGCCCGGGCAGGCTATGGCAGGTCCTGGGGCTCTGCTGAAACAGGGGATCGTCCTGCTCGCCCGTCCTGCCCCTATGTAGGGCGCTGACCAGTACTGATCACATGGCTGCGCTGCACCTGGTGTCTCAGTTCGGAGCATGTCACCAAACCCAGTTACTGTTTTTTTTTCTTTCTTTGAGACAGTCGCTTTCCGTTTTCCTTTCACTTCCTCTCCCTCATCATCCTCCACTACATGGTCACACCACAACAGCCTGGTTTGATCTCTGCTCCACTCTTGCTCCTACCCAGGGGCACTCTGCGACGTGCCCTGCTTCCGTTTTCTCATGCGGAAATGCAGATGACAGTCATCCTGGTAGTTCCTCTGAGGCAGGAGTGAGGTGACAGGTCTTTACTCTGGAAGGACTTAGCGCCTGTCACCCGGAAGTGCTCAGGCAGCACTAGCTCTTGCACACAGCGCTGGCCTGCCCCACCTGTCACATGCTTGACCCCCTCTCTGTTCTCCGTCCACGCCATTATCTTTCTCAGCCTGCTACCAGCGTGGCCCACCTGACTGAGAAGAGGTAAAGGTGTATTTTCTCAAGGCCAGAAGGTGGCATGGTGGTTAAGGTGACTGGATTTCCACGGAGCCAACTGTGGTTCAAGTCCTGGACCCAATGGCTTGAAAATTCCACTGGGTATGTGTGCGCGTGCATGTCCAAAATCCCAAGAGAATGGAGTAGAAGGGATTGTGGCATGGCCATCCTCCTGGGGGTTATCTTTTACTTTTCCTTTTCTCTCTGTGTGTCTCTCTCCTCTCTGGCGAGCGCACACATCTTCTGGCAAAAAAAAAAATCTCAAAAAAAAAAAAAATGGATTTCCTCTGATCAGAAGGTTCAGCCCCTACAGGGTATGAGGTTCTCCAGCTTCAACCCGGGAGTCAGGGCTTAGCCTGTTTGATCCCCACTTCCTCATGTTCCTTTACTGTATTATCTCGCAGTTTCTAATCTAAAGGCTACCGTGTTTGGTTCCACTTCTAACCTTCACATCTTTGAGTTCTTCCTGATACATGTTCACCAAGGACCTAAAACCTACCCAAGCAAAATGTTACTTCGTTCCTAAGAGCATTTCAAATGTCCCGGCTGATCTCTGGCCTTTTACCTAATAACACCTGAGGCTTAGCTGGGCTTTGCATGCTCAGGTCGCTGCCTGGTAAGTTTGGAAGTTTCTCAAGGGCAGGGACTCCTGTACACTGGTTTTTATGCCCTCTGTGTAAGCAAGTGCTGAGCAGCATAAGTGCCCAGGAAACGTGTTCAAGTTGAATTGCTTCCACAAAAATACTGACTTTCAGCTGGTTACCTAACAGTGATTAGTTCATCGTAGAGCAAGGCTCAACCTTTTTTTCCAACACCCACTTCATGGGAAAACAGTTTATAAATTGATACAGAAGTAAATGTATAATGATTTACTTTACCGAAATTACCTTTATAGCCTTCCCTTCTGGATTATCGTTGACCTTTAAAAGTGAGGCATCTGTAGTTTTAAATGTTTACGTAACTTTCACATAAACTCTTTCTGTGGTTTGCTGAATGCATTTAGTATCCATATAAAATTTAATGTTACACATCCATCCTTGACATTTTAGTCTTCTGCGAGAACGCCGCCGAAGTCTTTATGGAAAGGCCTTCAGGCATATGCCCGCACCCGCGTGGGTAGCAGCTTTACCTGTGTGTTACGGGACTGTGGCCGCCTGCCTCTTGGCCTAGCAAATGCCTTTGTTCCATGTGAGCCGACAAAGCTCAGATTTCTCATTCATAAACTTTAAACCATCTTTCCTAGCTGGTAATAACTTCCATATTATTTTTTCTTTTTCTTTTTTTAATTGTCAGAGAGCACATGTACTTGTTAGAGAGAGACAGAGAGTAAAGAGAGGGAGTAAAGAGAAAAGAGAAGGAACCCCCCACTGGGGTCTGGTGGGGCCACACTCCATGTCCATTTCTCCATCTCGTCAGGGTGTGGGGCATGCACACACACGTGCCCAGTGTTGTTTTTCAAGTCACTGTGTCTGGGATTCAATGGCACTCAACTGTGTAGACTCTGGCTCCCTTAACCACACGGCCAGCCTCATCATTTTATTCTCGAAATTAATCCTCTTACTGTGAAGTATATGGTATTTTTGTTTGTTTTTTAGTTGAGTTTAGGACTGAGTATTTGACATCTGTCTTTTTCTCTCCTAAGTTTTTATAGTGTGTTCACATACTGAAGAGTTTATTTTTTCAGTCTGTTTAGATAGCTTTTAGGGGGCCACCCAGAGGCATGGTGGTTAAATTGACTAAATCTCACATGGCCGACCGTCTGGTTCAAGTCCTCAGCTTGGTGGCTTGAAAAACACACTGGGTGTGTGTGAGAATGGAGAAGGGAATGTGGGATGGCCATCCCTGTAGGGGCGATCTCTCACTCTGTTTCTCTCTGGTGAGTGCACGTGCCCTATAGCAAAACTAAAAATAAATATCTTTTAGGAGGTAAACCTATTTACTTTATGTAAAGGAAGATACATCTCTACCTTTTTTGGTTTATTAAAAAACCTGTTAGCAGGAGTTTAAAGTGTTACAGATTAAAATGAGTAGTAGAGGTAATAGAAACCCTCTTTCTCCCTGACCACAAAACGTGGTAGTTACAGATTCCCATCTGGTGCAGTAAACTAGTCTTCTGTACCTCCTGGTAAATGCTGTTATCTTTGTATGAATGATCTACAGATAACTTCTCTGTGGAGCCCTCAGCAATGAAATCTGCATTTCAAAAACAAATGCTCAAGGTACCAGCAGTTAGCATAATGGCTATGTTGCTGGACTCCCATGTAGTTGACAGCGGTTCGCATCCTGGACCCGGTGGCTTAAAACTCACGCCAGGCGCATGTGTGTGCATGCCCTAGATCCTGAGAGGAGAATGGAGGAGAAGGGATTGCAGCGTGGCCATCCCCCCTGGGGGGTGATTTCTTGCTTTCTGTCTCTCTGTCTCTGTCTGGTGAGCGCACGCACCCTATAGCAAAAACCTCTTCGAAAAAAGAAAATGCTCAATGTAAAAAGTATTTAATCTCTTCAGAGTTAGTTTCACAAATTCAGAAAGATTGTCACGATCACTCATGTTTAGATAAGTAATACAGCCATGCAGATCAGTATTTTTGTTCATTTTGAAGTTTATTAATTTACTTCTCAATGAATGAATGAGAGCGAAAGAGAGAAACTCAACAGGGTCTGGACCCTGCAGTCCACCCCCAGCCCCATCAGCCCTGAATCATAGGCAAGTCGTACCCAGCATCCTCAGGGAAGTCTCTGGACTTGAACCAGAAACACTTGTCTTGTGCGATTGCCTTAAAGAGCGCCTCATTTTACCACTGTACAATGTCTGGTCCAGGAATCAATATTTTTTATTATAGATATTTGTTGCTTTAATAGTTTTAATATTTTTATTTCATTTCCCTAAAGTGTCGGGGTATTCCCCCCCCCTTCCCCCAGTGTACATAATGATTTTTTCCCCTGCTTCTTTAAATATTAAAACAGCATAATTGGAACCAGCAGTTAGCGTAATGACTATGTCGCTGAACTCCCTCGTAGTCGACTGTGGTTCAAGTCCCAGACCTGGTGGCTTAAACTCACGCCAAGCACGTATGCGTGCATACCCAAAATCCTGAGAGGAGAATGGAGGAGAAGGGATTGCAGCGTGGCCATCCCCCCTGGGGGGTGATTTCTTGCTTTCTCTCTCTCTCTCTCTCTCTCTCTCTCTCTCTCTCTCTCTCTCTCTCTCTCTCTCTCTCTCTCTCTCTCTCTCTCTCTCTCTCTCTCTCTCTCTCTCTCTCTGGCGAGTGCACACGTCCTATAGCAAAAACCTCTCAAAAAAATAATAATTGTAAATATTAGTAGATGAGTCACCTTGTCATTTATTATAGGTATTCATCAAAGTAATAGATACAAATGACCATCGTCCTCAGTTTTCTACATCAAAATATGAGGTGGTTATTCCTGAAGATACGGTGCCAGAAACAGAAATCTTGCAGATCAGTGCCGTGGATAAAGATGAGAAAAACAAACTGATCTACACTCTGCAGAGTAGTATAGATCCACTGAGTCTGAAGAAATTCCGTCTCGATCCTGCAACCGGCTCTCTTTACACTTCTGAAAAGCTTGACCATGAAGCCATTCACCAGCACGTCCTTACAGTCATGGTATGACATTTGCTCATTCCTCTGCCACCCTCGGTCCTGAAAGCTTCATGCATTTGAGATTGATTTTTTTTTTTTTTAGCTATAAGCAAGAATCTCCATAAGACTGAAAATGTGTTGACTCTTTCAGGTACGGGATCAGGATGTTCCTGTAAAACGCAACTTCGCCAGGATTGTCGTTAATGTCAGCGACACCAATGACCATGCTCCGTGGTTCACCAGTTCCTCCTACGAGGGGCGAGTTTACGAGTCATCGGCTGTTGGCTCAGTTGTGCTGCAGGTTACAGCTCTGGACAAGGACAAAGGGCAAAATGCTGAAGTGCTGTATTCAATTGAATCAGGTATCTATTTTTTTGGAGAGCTTTTTTTACTATAGGGTGCTTGCGCTCGCCAGAAAGAGAGGGACAGAGAGATAGAAAGTGAGAAATCACCCCCAGGGGGGATGGCCACACCGCAGTCCCTTTTCCTCCATTCTCCTCTCAGGATCTTGGGCACACATGCACACGCGCCCGGCATGAGTTTAAGCTGCTGGGTCCAGGACTCGAACCGTGGTCGGATACATGGGAGTTCAGCGACATAGCCATTATGCTAATTGCTTGCCCGTGAATCAGGTATCTTGAAGCAACGAGACGACATTTTAACTTTATACTTGATAAAGCATATTTCGTCTCTAAATTTGGTTCTAAGTGTTGAATTATTTCTATATATCACCGAAAAATTAATTAAATTGACTCTAGCTACCATTTATATATTAGAAGACAGAGGTGGAAAAAACTTTCTCTGAGTTTTTTAGTTCATCCATAAGCAAAGCTGGAGGACCATGTTTAGGTAAAAGTTTGGACAGTTCACAATACTAGTATAATTCAAGGTCCTGAGAAGTCTTGCAGTCAAGAATTTGACCAACTCAATATTTATGAAATTATTTTAACCACACAATTTTCCTCTCTAACATCAGTTATGAACCACATTAGGAAAAGGTTGGCCTAGTCATTTAATGTTTTATCTCTAAATAGAGAGTATTTTCTCTTGGTCAGTTCAGGGAATTTCATGACAGAATATTGACTCTTCCAATTTGAATTGGGCCAAATCTCAGAAAGTGTGTCATGCCCTTCCAGGTCTAACTTTCTTCTTTTTTTTTAATTTTTAAATTTTTTTGGTGCCACTTTTGTCCTATATACCTTTAACTCTTGAGTTTCATTCATGGAATTGGGTTGTTTCGCCTTGTGGCCGCAGTGAGAGGTACAGAGTTAAGACTGGGACTAGGAGAAATGTTGAAAAGTCCAGGGGACCTGTTGGCCTTGAGGCAGCAAAGGCGAGGAAGACTGCCTAGAACTGTGGTCCTGGGTGATTCTTCTGCTGAGGAGATGTTGGTGCTAAAGTGGACGATCAGCACGTAGCCCCGTGGCAAAGCGCATTGGTTTTGTTCCTGTTCTGTTTTACCCTGCCTTTCACTCATTCATTTATTCATTCCATGGACGGATAACTAAGCTCCTTTTGTGTCAGTCACTGTGCTAGGAAGGTTCCTAGTGTGCTTGTATGAGATCCTGTCGTGGACTGAAACAGGGATCTACTTCTGGACACATGATTTATACAGCCAGAAATCACATTGCTCGGGGTTCTCTCTACTCATGCGAAATAGTACGATGAATGATTAAATATTGAGAAGGCAGTTTAAGTTCGTAGCACTGCCTATTTAGACATTGTCTCTCCTGGGCATTACCATTGGTAGAGACATAGATGAACTATAGATCACCTCACTGATATCAGAGGAACTGGACAGTAATTCAAAAAATACTTCCTGACCTGTTTTGCGTGGTTTCACTATTTTAATTTTTTTTAACATAATTTGAAATTCCATTTACTTCCTTTCAAATGAAGAAATGGAGTTAATTACTTGCAAATAAGACTCATAACATACCAGTGACTGCAGTGTTAATGTGTTCTGTGGTGTGATAAGTGCACTTGAATAAAGATGAAGTTTTTTCCCACTGGTTCAGAAATTTAGCAGTTAGAGCACCAGTACATTCCATGTGTGCATGCCTGAGCATTTCAATAAAGTAATTTTGTCATAGACAAACTGGCTGGGTTTATGTAGGAGAAAATGTTAAACTTTCCCTTAGCTTTCACATAATTTTCAACAACTGGGTGGTTAAAATATGATTGTTGGTGTCCAGTAAAGGCGTGTGCATATTTTGAATGCTTGTGATGACTGATGGGATCAGTGATCTGGAATTCTAAGAATGGCACTCTCTCTTTCCTCAAAGAATAGATAATACCAATGACCTCTTCCAATGTAGAATTAGGACTTTCAAGAAAATATTTGTATAATTTCGGTCATATAAAAATTATGCTAAATAGTTATTTTATGGGAAACCACTACTATGAAAATGCAGTGTAAGTTTGTGTGTGTGTGTGTGTGTATGTGTGTTGGAATACTATGAACTATAAAGCATTCATCCCACCTTTCATGTAGCGGTTTATTCATAATCACCTGCTCCTAATCTGTTCAGTTTAGATTTAATAAACTTCAAAAGACTCCTTATGAATTCAGTTCCTAGCACTGCATGTTTAATTAGCAGCAATCTATTAAGCAAAAAGGTTTGAGCTTGGTCTGATTAGGAGTCTTTAGAGAAAGGGGAATGAATTAGCCGCAGTAGCAGTTGAGTGATGTACTGGGGTGTGGCCCTCCGTGCCATCCTCTGAGCCGTATGTTTTCTTCTCTTTTTGTCTTTTTCACAAAGTAGATGAGTCAAGGACCACTTCAGAACTGTGCCAAAGCCCATAAATACATTAAATAGCATTGGTCTTGGTTCCCAAACTTAGCTTAAATGTAATTGCATTGGAAACTTCACAGAGGGTGCTGCGTGTCGGTCAGCAGGCCCCTACTAAGTGTCGCCTTGTGTCCGCAGTGAGAGGTGCAGACTCCCACACACTCGCTTACAGGCCTTAAGGGATTATATATGTATGTTATAGCTTAAGAGCAAAAGTGTGTATGTCTACTGATTGTCCTGTTCATATCCAAGGAATAATTTAAGAGTTTCAGGGCTGGCAGGTGGTGGTGTGGTTAAGGCGCAGGACTCCCACATGGCTAACCACGGTTCGAGTCCTGGACCTGGCAGCTTGCTTTTTTACCTTCCTTTCTCTCTCTCTCTCTCTCTCTCTCTCTCTCTCTCTCTCTCTCTCTCTGTCTTTCTCACTGTCACTCTCTGATCAAATAAAAAATAATAATGAAATGGAATAATTATATTTTGAAGAAAAGATTTAGAAATCACTGATATTTCAGCTGAAGAGAATAAGTGAGCCCCCAGCCTAATACAGACCATCCCCACTGCACAAGTACCGCACACGTTTTTCAATGTTTGGTGAATATACACGTTAGATCAGACAGAGGTGCATGTTCGTGGAGGCTAAGAAGCCCGCTGTGTTCATGGAAGCAGCGTGAACACAGTAAAGGTGTTGCTTTTCCATCCACAAATCTGATGGTTTCTGCCTTCATACATTTGTATGTGGGATCCATACATTAAATCACTACGTGGATTACCATTCCTTCTTTTTCTTGGCAACGAGCTCAAAGCAGTCTTTATCAAATTCAGGGCACTACAGACAATAAAGAATGTTTCTGACTTTTACATGGCCGATAAAGAACAAGGTGGTAATACATGCAATGAAGGAAAAGCATGGTTAAAGGACAAACAGCATTGCTGGATAGGGAGGTCAAATAAGGCCTCATCCCACTCTAAGCAGGGGCTTCAGGTAAAACCTGGATGGATAGATGGATGGGTGGGTGGGTGGATGGAGAAACAGCGAGAATAGCTGAGAAGCCTTCCAGGAGAGAACACAGCAAATGCAGAGGCCCTCAGATGAGAGCATGTGCTCCGATTGAGGAGCTAGGAGGCTGCCATTGTGACTCGAGGGGATAAGTTGTACAGACAATAGTGTGTTCTAATGCTGCCAGCCTGCTTCAAAGCAGAGAAAAGCTGTTCATTTCTCTGGAAGCTTCTCTAGCAAAATAACATTTCACTCTATAAAACAAAGAGCAATGCCAATAGGTGAATGAATATAAATATGATAGGTTGCTCCTTTATTAATACAGACATGGGAAAGTCTGAGGAGTGAGGATGGAGAGAGTTGCTAAAGGTTACTGCAGTTTCTTATGTCAAGCCAGGCAGTCAGTCACGATTTTGGAAGGTAGGGATGAGGCACAAGTCGGATGCGGGAAAGATCTTGGCATTCTGATAACTGCCTAAAATGTAATGAGAGAGACTCTGGGATCTTCGACTCTCATCAACACAGACAGGCGGAAATTAGTGTCTGTGCAGACTGGCAGAGGCAGCAGGCTCCTCATTCATGGGCCAGAATTCAGCTCAGAGTTTCAGGGACTGGAGAAAGCTTGAGCTATCGCCCTGCTGCAGACCAAGGCAGTGTCGTGGGGCTTGGATGCAGAGCTAGGCAGACTTAATGAAAGCCAGACGAGGTCTGGCTTCAGGGAAAAATTGTCACAGATTTTTGGAAAATGTATTAAAGGAAGGAAATGCAGACTGTAGAGGAAGTGTTGACTGTTAATGATGTGGAGAAAGATGTGTGTGGTTCATCCCCTTGTTTACAGATCACCCTAAGTAATTCATGGTTTGTGAGATGGCCAGCTGGTTGCAATGCTTGAGGAAGAGGAGTTTGAGAAAGCGATGAAGTGGCAAGTGCACTTGGTTTGGAGAAGTGTAGAAGTTTAGTTCAGGAAAGAACATTTGTGCGTGACTGGGACCATGCGTACTGGACGCTTGCTTCTGAAATAGAAAAGGCATGGATCAAACCTTAGAACTCAACCCTTGGTCTACCCACAAAGGCTGCAGAGAACTGCTGGTGTTTCACAATGACTTCAGTCAGTGGTACAAAACTGGCATGTTATGGAGTTGAGGTACAGCTAATTCATGTGTAATATAGCCCGAAAAGGTCCGAAGAGGAGCAAGTAAAGCAACCTGATTAGTCTCTCAGCTCCAGCACTGTTGACATTTTGGAATAGATAATTCATTGTCCCATGCCTTTTCCAGTATTTCACAGTATCCCTGGTCTCTACCCACTAGCTGCCAGTAGCACTCTGTCCCTCCAAGTTGTGACAAACATAAATGTCTCCAGACCACTGGCAAATGTCTCCTTCATATAGATGGATGGGTGGGTGGGTGGATGGAGAAACAGCGAGAATAGCTGAGAAGCCTTCCAGGAGAGAACACAGCAAATGCAGAGGCCCTCAGATGAGAGCATGTGCTCCGATTGAGGAGCTAGGAGGCTGCCATTGTGACTCGAGGGGATAAGTTGTACAGACAATAGTGTGTTCTAATGCTGCCAGCCTGCTTCAAAGCAGAGAAAAGCTGTTCATTTCTCTGGAAGCTTCTCTAGCAAAATAACATTTCACTCTATAAAACAAAGAGCAATGCCAATAGGTGAATGAATATAAATATGATAGGTTGCTCCTTTATTAATACAGACATGGGAAAGTCTGAGGAGTGAGGATGGAGAGAGTTGCTAAAGGTTACTGCAGTTTCTTATGTCAAGCCAGGCAGTCAGTCACGATTTTGGAAGGTAGGGATGAGGCACAAGTCGGATGCAGGAAAGATCTTGGCATTCTGATAACTGCCTAAAATGTAATGAGAGAGACTCTGGGATCTTCGACTCTCATCAACACAGACAGGCGGAAATTAGTGTCTGTGCAGCCTGGCAGAGGCAGCAGGCTCCTCATTCATGGGCCAGAATTCAGCTCAGAGTTTCAGGGACTGGAGAAAGCTTGAGCTATCGCCCTGCTGCAGACCAAGGCAGTGTCGTGGGGCTTGGATGCAGAGCTAGGCAGACTTAATGAAAGCCAGACGAGGTCTGGCTTCAGGGAAAAATTGTCACAGATTTTTGGAAAATGTATTAAAGGAAGGAAATGCAGACTGTAGAGGAAGTGTTGACTGTTAATGATGTGGAGAAAGATGTGTGTGGTTCATCCCCTTGTTTACAGATCACCCTAAGTAATTCATGGTTTGTGAGATGGCCAGCTGGTTGCAATGCTTGAGGAAGAGGAGTTTGAGAAAGCGATGAAGTGGCAAGTGCACTTGGTTTGGAGAAGTGTAGAAGTTTAGTTCAGGAAAGAACATTTGTGCGTGACTGGGACCATGCGTACTGGACGCTTGCTTCTGAAATAGAAAAGGCATGGATCAAACCTTAGAACTCAACCCTTGGTCTACCCACAAAGGCTGCAGAGAACTGCTGGTGTTTCACAATGACTTCAATCAGTGGTACAAAACTGGCATGTTATGGAGTTGAGGTACAGCTAATTCATGTGTAATATAGCCCGAAAAGGTCCGAAGAGGAGCAAGTAAAGCAACCTGATTAGTCTCTCAGCTCCAGCACTGTTGACATTTTGGAATAGATAATTCATTGTCCCATGCCTTTTCCAGTATTTCACAGTATCCCTGGTCTCTACCCACTAGCTGCCAGTAGCACTCTGTCCCTCCAAGTTGTGACAAACATAAATGTCTCCAGACCACTGGCAAATGTCTCCTTCATATCACATTGTCACTGTTGAGAACCACGGACCTAGAGAAGAGCAGACTTGAAAGTAATGAAGACAATGTTGTTGAAATCTTCAAAACCTATAAAGCAGGATGGTTATACAAACGTATTCGTCAGTTCCCTGAGTATTTAAAATAAGGGACTACTCTTTTAAAGCTTAATGCGAATGTTCCTAGTGAATGTAAATGTTTCTTTTTGTAATAAATAGGGATCTTTGGAATTTCCAAGTGATAAATGCTGAAAATATAAGCACCTTCTTTAGAAGGATTTGAAGGACTCTTGGAAAATGATTAACTCCTCTGCTTTTTAAAAGGATAACCATATCCTTCTGTAACATAGTCCCTGTTGAGCCAACAGAGAGTGAGCTTTGGCCTTAGGTAGAGTGTCATTTTTAGGTTTCTTGTTTTTTGTAATTTATGGACAGAATTCTGAAGAGTAGCCTTGTTTTAGGTGAATAAAAAGAAATAATTGGAAGAGTCCTTTCACATGTTTATGTCCCCTGAAATTCTGCTTATTTTCCGAATTTGGTTTTTAATGAGAACCTTATTTTTTTTTCTTCAGTTGCTCCTTCGATTGCTCCTTGTGTTTTTCCTTAACATGTATGTTTTTCTCCCCTTCCAGGAAATATTGGAAATTCGTTTACAATCGATCCCATCTTGGGCTCCATAAAAACTGCCAAAGAATTAGATCGAAGTAACCAAGTGGAGTATGACTTAATGGTAAAAGCTACAGATAAAGGGAATCCACCAATGAGTGAAATAACTTCCGTACACATCTTTGTCACTGTGGCCGACAACGCCGCCCCTAAGTTTACCTCCAGAGAGTATTCTGTGGAAATCAGCGAAGCCATCAGCATTGGGAGTTTCGTCGGAATGGTTACAGCCCACAGTCAGTCATCAGTGGTATATGAAATAAAAGACGGAAACATAGCCGATGCCTTTGATATTAATCCACATTCTGGAAGTATCTTCACTCAGAAAGCTCTGGATTTTGAAACTTTGCCCGTCTATACATTGACAATACAAGGAACTAACATGGCTGGTTTGTCCACCAATACAACCCTTCTGGTGCACCTACAGGATGAGAATGACAACCAGCCCGTTTTTATGCAGACAGAGTATACAGGACTCATTAGTGAATCAGCTTCAATCAACAGTGTGGTCCTGACCGATAGGAATGTCCCACTAGTGATCCGAGCAACTGATGCTGATAAGGAATCCAACGCTTTGCTTGTTTACCACATCGTTGAACCATCTGGACGCAAATATTTTGCTATCGACCCCAGCACTGGTGCAGTTCGTGCAGTTCTACGTCTGGACTATGAGGAAACAAGTACTTTTCACTTTACTGTACAAGTGCATGACATGGGAGTCCCACGTTTATTTGCGGAGTATGCAGCTAATGTGACTATCCACGTCATTGACATTAACGACTGTCCCCCTGTGTTCTCCAGATCACTGTATGAAGCGTCTCTTTTGTTGCCGACATACAAAGGAGTCAGAGTCCTCACAGTAAATGCTACAGATGCTGATTCGAACACCTCCTCTCAGTTAATGTACTCCATCACTGAAGGCAACATCGGGGAGAAGTTCTCGATGGACTACAAGACCGGCACGATAACTGTACAAAACACAACTCAGTTAAGGAGCCGCTATGAGTTAGCCATCAGAGCTTCGGATGGCAGATTTGCCAGCTTTACCTCCGTGAAAATTAATGTGAAAGAAAGCAAAGAAAGTCAACTGAAGTTTACCCAAGATTTCTACTCTGCGGTAGTGAAAGAGAATTCCACCGAAGCCAAAACATTGGCTGTCATTACTGCTATTGGGAATCCCATCAATGAGCCCTTGTTTTATCACATCCTCAATCCAGATCGCAGATTTAAAATAAGCCGCACGTCAGGAGTACTGTCAACCACTGGTGTGCCATTTGACCGGGAACAGCAGGAGATGTTCGATGTGGTCGTGGAAGTGACTAAAGAGCACACGCCCTCTGTGGTGGCCCACGTGGTTGTGAAAGTCACTGTGGAAGACCAAAACGATAACGCACCAGTGTTCGTTAACCTTCCCTACTACGCTGTTGTCAAAGTGGATACTGAGGTGGGCCATGTCATTCGCTCTGTCACTGCTGTCGACAGAGATAGTGGCAGAAATGGGGAAGTACATTACTACCTTAAGGAACATCACGAGCACTTTCAAATTGGACCTGCTGGTGAAATTTCACTCATAAAGCAATTCGAACTCGACACCTTAAATAAAGAATATCTTGTCACAGTGGTTGCAAAAGACGGAGGAAACCCAGCCTTTTCAGCTGAAGTTATAGTTCCAGTCACTGTTATGAATAAAGCCATGCCGGTGTTTGAAAAACCTTTCTACAGTGCAGAGATTCCAGAGAACATCCAGATACACAGCCCAGTGGTCCATGTCCAGGCCAACAGTCCAGAAGGACTAAAAGTATTCTACAGCATCACAGATGGAGACCCCTTCAGCCAGTTTACTATTAACTTTAATACTGGAGTTATAAATGTCATTGCTCCTCTGGACTTTGAGGCCCACCCAGCCTACAAACTGAGCATTCGAGCAACCGACTCTCTGACCGGTGCCCATGCCGATGTGTTTGTTGATATCATAGTGGAAGACATCAATGATAACGCTCCCGTGTTTGTTCAACAGTCTTACGCTGCCACGCTGTCGGAGGCATCTGTGATCGGAACATCTGTCATTCAAGTGAGAGCAACTGATTCCGATTCAGAACCCAACAGAGGGATTTCATACCAGATGTTTGGGAATCATAGTAAAAGCCAAGACTATTTTCACATAGATAGCAGTACTGGTCTCATCTCACTGGTCAGAACTTTGGATTACGAACAGTTCCAGCAGCACAGGATTTCTGTAAGGGCTGTCGATGGTGGCATGCCGCCGCTGAGCAGTGATGTCATCATCACGGTGGATGTCACGGACCTCAATGATAACCCGCCACTCTTTGACCAACAGATTTATGAAGCCAGAATTAGTGAGCATGCCCCTCATGGTCATTTTGTGACGTGTGTAAAAGCCTGTGATGCAGATAGTTCAGACGTGGATAAGTTGGAATACTCCATTCTGTCTGGCAATGATCATAAAAACTTCGTCATTGACAGTGAAACGGGGATCATCACGCTCTCAAACCTGCGCCGGCACACCCTGAAGCCATTTTACAGTCTGAACGTTTCCGTGTCCGATGGCGTCTTTAGAAGTTCTGCTCAGGTTCACATCACTGTAATTGGAGGCAACTTGCACAGCCCTGTTTTTCTTCAGAACGAATATGAAGTGGAACTAGCTGAAAATGCTCCTTTACACACCCTGGTGATTGAGGTTAAAGCAACCGATGGGGATTCGGGTATTTACGGCCGCCTTACTTACCGTATTGTAAATGACTTTGCCAAAGACAGGTTTTATACTAATGAGAGAGGACAGATATTTACTTCGGAAAAACTTGACCGAGAAACTCCAGCAGAAAAAGTCATCGCAGTTCGTTTAATGGCTAAGGATGCCGGAGGAAGAGTTGCTTTCTGCACTGTGAATGTCATCCTCACAGACGACAATGATAATGCCCCTCAGTTCCGAGCCACCAAGTATGAAGTGAACATTGGAGCCAGTGCTGCCAAAGGAACGTCTGTTGTCAAAGTTCTCGCAAGTGACACTGATGAGGGATCCAATGCTGATGTCACCTATGCCATTGAAGCAGATTCCGAGAGTGTTAAAGAGAACTTGGAAATCAACAAACTGTCTGGCGTAATTACGACAAAGGAAAGCTTAATTGGCTTAGAAAATGAGTTCTTTACCTTCTTTGTGAGAGCTGTGGATAATGGGTCTCCACCCAAAGAGTCTGTTGTTCCCGTCTATGTTAAAATACTTCCACCAGAAATGCAGCTTCCAAGATTTTCAGAACCATTTTATACCTATACAGTTTCAGAAGACATGCCTATTGGAACAGAAATAGATCTCATCCGGGCGGAACACACAGGGACTGTTCTTTACAGCCTAGTCAAAGGCAATACTGCTGAAAGTAATAGGGATGAGTTTTTTGTGATCGACAGGCAGAGTGGCAGACTGAAACTGGAGAAGAGGCTTGATCACGAGACAACGAAGTGGTATCAGTTTTCCATCCTGGCCAGGTGTACTAGGGATGACTATGAGGTGGTAGCTTCTGTAGAGGTTAGTATCCAGGTGAAAGATGCAAATGATAACAGCCCCCTCTTGGAGTCCAATCCATATGAGGCATTTATTGTTGAAAACCTGCCAGCGGGAAGCAGAGTCATCCAGATCAGGGCATCTGATCTAGATTCAGGAACCAATGGCCAAGTCATGTATAGCCTAGATCAGTCGCAGAGTGTAGACGTCATCGAATCATTTGCCATCAACATGGAAACTGGTTGGATTACAACCCTAAAGGAACTTGACCATGAAAAGAGAGACAGTTACCAGATCAAAGTGGTTGCATCAGATCATGGTGAAAAGGTTCAGCTGTCCTCCACAGCCATTGTGGATGTCACTGTCACTGACGTCAACGATAGTCCACCTCGATTCACGGCAGAGATTTACAAGGGGACCGTGAGTGAAGATGACCCACCGGGAGGTGTGATTGCCATCTTGAGTACTACGGATGCTGACTCCGAAGAGATTAACAGACAAGTGACATATTTCATAACTGGTAAAAAAATTTTCAAATTTAATGGTTTAATTTAAAGTTAAATTGTATTAGAATTAAAATTTTGAGATTGGTGTGGTATGGAAATTAGGAGTTAAATAGACGATTTTAGTTAAGCGCATCTAAAGTAAGTAGAAATAGCATGTTAAGCTGTATCTTCAGTTCTTTAGCTAAGCAAAGCTGACAGTTGTTTCAGTAGCATTTTTTAATTTTATGATTCATTCTATTGAACTTAATACTTAATGTGTATTATAATTCAAAGTAAATTATTGTAGGCCCATTGTAGGCTAAACTATTATTTAGTTGTCTTTGTGGTTTATTTACTTATTCTGTGTTTAGATATACATTTCAGTGCTTTGTGTTTTATTTTGGTAAGTAAGAAAGTGATTATACACCAAATTTTAATTATTTAAAAAATCTTTTAGTACGTTTAAACACTGTTATTATATAATATGTAATAAATAATATTACATACTTTTGTACAGTGTATTTTTCTTGTTACTTTTTTACTCCTGTTACTTACTGTTGTCCTATTTCAGCAAATTTGATTGTCATCTTTCAACATTGATTTAATAGGAGGAGATGCCTTAGGACAATTTGCCATTGAAAATGTACAGAATGAATGGAAGGTTTATGTGAAGAAACCCCTGGATAGGGAAAAAAGGGACAATTACCTTCTGAGTATAACAGCAACTGATGGGACTTTCTCATCAAAAGCTATAGTTGAAGTGAAAGTCCTTGATGCAAATGACAACAGTCCAGTTTGTGAAAAGGTAGGCTACTCTTTCTTTAATTTTATATATTATGAATTAAATGTTTTAATTATTTGAATAGGACTGTCACATGGTGCTGTGGGGGAATTCAGATGTGTTTTCCATTCTCATCCCTTACTGGTTAAGCTGAAGGGAAAGCTGAATGGGTAAGTCTTGGAAAATCTTCAGAACTATTTTGGGGGAGGCTAAATAGGTCAAGAACCTCCTTCTAAAAAACTGTAGGTTGTGGACAGGAGTACAGTTGTGACTAACTCTAAAAATGCTCCGTAAACTTCCCATGAAGGGATTCTCTTAGTTTGGGGGATAAGGTTATTGGGGAGGAAATGTCCGGCATTGCAGTTCTTCCCACAAAGCTCTGTCTTGCTTAAGGGACCTTTCTGGGGGCACTTGCTCTCTCTCACACTAAAGAAGCTAAGAGGTTAGTGATGCTTTAGTGAGATAAAACACGTAGCCCAAAGACGAGCCGTTCCCCTCCGAGGTTAAGTGAGGGCGGTGGGTCTCCTGGAGGAGTAGTCCATGGAGCTGGAGGACGAGGAAAAGCTGTTCAGGGACTGTGCGTTGCCTCAGCCTTTGAGAAGTGGTGACTGGGGAATCAAGTAGAAATGGGAAAGGCAGCGGAGTGTGTGGAGTGAGGACAGGGGTGGGAATAGTAACTTGGTCTGCCAGCATGGGCCGTCTGCGGTCAGTGTCATAAGAAAGGATTTGAAGGCAAGGTGTGGGGGAGGTTACAGTCTACTCTAGGGGCATGTGCTCTCTCAAGAGGCAGAGAGAGAGGGGGGCAAGTGAGAAATCACCCCCTCAGGGGAAATGGCCATGCTGCAATCCCTTCTACTCCATTTTCCTCTCAGGATTTTGGGTGCATACACACACCCTCCTTTTGTGTTTTTCAAGCCATTGTGGTCCAGGACTCGAAATGTGCTGACAGCCATGTGGGATTCAGCCACTTTAACCTCCACCTCACCTTCTGGCCCTATAGACAACCCTGAAAGGTCACCCCAAGGAATTTGAACTCTACATGGGGACTCCAAATACTTACATGTCTTTAAGATACAAGATGACTTGAACCAGGAGTCCTTAAAGACCTTCCGTTTGGTAGTACTGTGTCATTGTTTAGGAGTGAAGTGAGAGGTACGAGTATAGGCAGGGGTGACAGAGGAGGTTCAGGACCCAGACCCTGTAGAAGAAACACGCGTAGCATTTCGTCCCTGTCCTGCTGTGACCGCATGGCAAGCACGTTGAGTCAAGGCCCACTCCTGTGTTTCCTACCGATGCTTGGGAGGGGGACCAAGGCAGTGACACAGAGGTGTCTGGAGCAGGGATTGGTATGAGGAGAAGTAGGTTGAGTTCCATTTCAGATTTGTTAAATTTAAGGCAATGGGACATCCTCTTGAATGTGTTTTTAGGCGTTTAGATATGGCAAGATTAAAGAGTGTGTGTTACTGAAGAAGAGTTTGCAGTAAAGAGAGTAACGGAAGGAAGAAGAGAGTGACAGGTTTAGAAAAAACTAGGTTGACAGGAAAGTGGTTTTGAAGAGTGGCAGAGGAGAGGAGTTGGGGGTTGCAGTAGACTCAGTAAGAATAGCATTTACCGTAGCTGTGGGGAGAAGCATAGTTACTCTCAGAATTGGGTACTTCTGAGGGATGGGAGTTCATTTCAGTCCGTATTTGTATTTTTTGGTGACGGTATCTTACAGGGATCTGTGTGTCTGTGTGTCTATCTTCTTAGAGAAACTTAAATGTGTGTTTGTGGGGGTGTTTAGCACTTTCATATTATTTTGATATAATACCATATCATTTTTGAGAATAATAAAATTAGAACACTAGATAATTTTAATTTAGTGTTGCAGAACATCCTGTTTTGTGAGTCATAACATGTAATTCACCTATAATTGAGTTTGTATTATGAAGATAAATTTAACAAAATCTTAATCTGTTTCTCTTATGTTTTTATGTATGTCATAGATTCCTAAATAATTGGAAATGGCAACAGTAGTTCGTTATGTTTGAATGTTAGGGTAAATTTGAAGAGAAAGACAATTGAGCAGGGTAAGAGAGGACCGTGAGCCTCGTCTGTTCCCCCGTGGCCTTGAAAGATCTTTGTTTTCTTCCATAACAGAAGATTGCTTCTGTCCCAACTGCAATTACTCAGTTTTGTTTTAGAAATAGTTGCAAATAATAAATTCTTATGTGTGGAAATAAGTATAAGATGGAGGTATGGAAAGATTCTTTCAAGGATGTTCGAGTCTGTCTCTGTCACTTTCCATTTTTTCTCTGTACTTGATACAAAAAATTTTAAAAGAAGCTTCAAAATGACTCAGTATTGTGTAGGCTAAGCATCAGATCAGACTCAGGGCTCTAGAGGTGGTCACTGTGTGGCATGGCACATTTGTGTTTACATATGGTTCATAAGAAAATTAGTTTTAAAAGTTTTTTGGATTTTAGCATTTCTCCCTGTTTTCTATGACCAAGGTTAAATGATTTCTTTTCTCCTGTTCTCTTGAGAGTTGTTCTGACTTGTAATGCTTTTATGCTAACAGTGTTGTTTGAAATCTTTGTAGACTTTGTATGCAGACACCATTCCAGAAGATGCCCCTCCTGGGAAATTGATCATGCAGGTCTCGGCGACAGATGCAGATATCCGTTCCAATGCTGAAATTACGTACACATTATATGGTTCAGGTGCAGAAAAATTCAAACTAAATCCAGACACAGGTAATGATGAGGTGTGGGACAAAACTAAGTGTGTATTCCAATACGGTCATGTGTGTGGGAGATTTTTAGATCACACAAAAATTTGAAATGACCTTTTGACCTTTTCAGATTTAGTGCTATGAAATTGATTCTTTTGGAAATCTAAACAACCATGTAGTGTGTAAAATTTGGTGTGAGATTAAAAACAAATAAGGGGCCAGCGGATGGCATAGTGGTTAAAGTGCTGGACTCTGATGTGATTGACTGTGGTTTGAGTCCTGGACCTGATGTATTGAAAATCAAGCTGGACACTGTGTGTGCCCAAAATCCTGAGAGGAGAATGGAGGAGAAGGGATCGTGGCATGGCCATCCCCTGGGGCGCAATTTCTCGCTTTTTCCCTCTCTGTCTCTGTTTTGCTGGCAAATGCACATGCCCTATGATGAAAGTCTCAGGAATACCTCCTCGAACCAAGGATTTAAGGTCATTCTTACGTCTCAACTTTAGCACTCTTATAACGAAAATGGTTTATAGTATTTTATTCATCTTTAAATAGAGATGTTTTCCTCTTGTATTAATCATTTGTACTTTGTTAAAATTGGGATCACGTAACAGTTTTGCATCAATCTTCGTGTTTTCTTTTGAATTAGTAAAGAACTAATTCAAAATATGAATCTTAATTTTTGAGTCAGTTAAATTTTTAAAAAAAATTTTGGTTAAGTAGGTATGTATTTTACTCTTTCAACACTATATACAATAATGTTAAAACCAACACCTCAGCCTCACATCTTTATGATGTGAGGAACTAGGAGCCCCCGGCAGTGTGGAACCCTGAGATTCACTGTGGTCATGCAGCTGTTGAGTCTGTCACTGACAAAACTGTTCTCTAAAGGAAGGCCGTTAAGGAATAAGATACATAGTCGTAGCACACATTTTGAATTTCAAGCAAGTCCATGTATTTCCCTTTGTTTTTAGGTGAACTGAAAACACTCGCTCCTCTTGACCGTGAGGAACAAGCCATTTATAACCTCGTAGTCAAGGCCACGGATGGAGGTGGAAGATTCTGTCAAGCTAATATCGTGCTCACGTTAGAAGATGTGAATGATAATGCCCCTGAGTTCTCTGCTGATCCTTACACCATCACTGTGTTTGAAAACACGGAGCCAGGAACCCTGTTGACAAGGGTGCAGGCCACAGACGCAGATGCAGGTACCTCTGGGAGATGCTCTGACCTTCACAGCGTGCCCTGAACTCTTAGCCTCTGTTTCAAAACTTACCTTACTGCTTGCATGTTGAGTGGTGGGTTGTGGAGTAAAATCTTTAGAACCGTTCATTCACTTTGAATGTTTATTTGAAGTACTAAAAGTACATCTCGTGAACCTAATTTCTGTGAAGTGTGTGGTGTCACTAAAAGTCTGGTCAGTGACTATATTAACTTATCTTTATATCCCGTTGAATTAATGAGTGAAATGTCATTTTGTGAACAAATTGTTAGCAACACAAGAAATTTTAGTATTTTAGTATCACAAGGACATTATAAAATCCCGTGGTGTATTATGGTAGTTTTATAAATCTTTGACAGTTTTTTAAACTGTCAAAATCCAACTACTGGATATGTAGCCATAGCATTTTGACAACAGGAAATAAAAATAACCTCTTCAATTTTTATTAATATTGAAGAATTAAAGAACAACAAAAATGTTATTTTTCAAGTAACTCTTTGTCACTGAAGCTAATAGATTTCACTTTCAGAGGTCTGCTGGGTCCTATTACCATAAGTGCCTATGTAAAATAGTCTAAAAAGCCAGATAGCTATGAAGTTGTATTTGTTTTAATTCTGGAAATGGTTCACAAAAAAACATTTATTTTTCAAGATCACAGTCCTAAGAATTGTAGAAGTGTGTATATTAGCATTTCCCTTTGAAAATGCTGCATAGTTTTTTCAGAATAGTAACTTAAGTTTAAATGTCTTGATATAAAACCACGTGACATGATTTTATGTCTCAACAGGCTTGAATCGAAAGATTTCCTACTCACTGATCAACTCTGCTGAGGGGCAGTTCTCCATTAATGAATTGTCTGGGATTATCCAGTTAGAAAAGCCTTTGGATAGAGAACTGCAGGCAGTGTATACCCTGACTTTGAAAGCCGTGGATCAAGGTTTGCCAAGGAGGTTGACAGCTACTAGCGTTGTGGTTGTATCCGTTCTGGATATAAATGACAACCCGCCAGTGTTCGAGTACCGTGAATATGGTGCCACAGTGTCCGAGGACATTCTTATTGGGACAGAAGTTCTTCAAGTGTACGCAGCAAGTCGGGATATCGAAGCAAATGCAGACATCACCTACTCGATCATCAGTGGAAACGAGCATGGAAAATTCAGCATAGATTCTAAAACAGGTAACTTACGGGGTGAGTGAGTGGAAGCCTTTATCCCACCAAAAAGGCTGGATGTGCCTGGCGCTTTACCTTGTACAGAGTCACAGACCGCACGTTGTTAGTAGTGCTTTCAAAAGAGAAAACTGAAGTCTTCTGTTGTTATTGTTTCAAGTAGGATTGAAAGTGGTCCAGGAGATGTCACACGATTGCTCTACTTTATATATTTCTGGCACAGTGATGATAAACTACATTACCAGATTAAGTTAAGACTAAAAGAATCCCATTCTCGTAGGTTAGTAACAGTAAGTTGTAGCAGGTTATAAAGGTAAGAATGGCTGACAGTAGAGGACCTGCATAAGGAACTGCTTTTATCCCCCTCATTAAACTCATGGGAAGGAGCTTCTCTAAACAGTAGTTTCAACCACTTTGGTCTTCATTTCTAGAGTGGGCATCTGGTTATTCATTAAGTTGACATCTTTATTATGCTGGGTATATATAACATTTGAAGTACTTTAAATCACAGTTATTAAAAAGAATGCCAACAAGGTTGGAAGTCATAGGACCTACTGGTTCTTGCTTTATAAATGCTCACGTAGTCCTGTTAAGCTGTGGCCTAAAAGAGCTGTAAGTCTTAACATCTGTTGCAACAAGTTGCTTCATTCAGATTGTATATATTTGATTATTCCAGATGAAGAATAGAACGTGATGAAGTTATTTTAAAATGCGTTTTTTAATACATATCATAAAATTGTTATATTTAGGGCTCTTTTATCTCATACTTTAAAATAGCACGAACTATAATAAAGTGAAAAGGAAAAAGGTGAAAGGAACTGTTAAATAAGAAAAGGAACTTTTTTTTTTGGTGGAGAGGTTTTTGCTACAGGGTGTGTGCGCTCGCCAGAAAGAGAGAGCGAAACAGAAAGAGAGAGAGAAACAGAAAGCGAGAAATCACCCCCCCAGGGGGCTGGCCACACTGCAGTCCCTTCTCCTCCATTCTCCTCAGGATCTTGGACATGCCATGCACACACGCCTGGCATGAGTTTAAGCCACCAGGTCCAGGACTCAAACCACAGTCAACTACATGGGAGTTCAGCAACATAGCCATTATGCTAACTGCTGAAATTTATTTTAAACTTGTTTATATTAAACTGAAATAAAGTATCTGTAGTGAGCTACAGTTTAGAACAGATAGATAATCATTTTAATAGTAAGGATAACTGAAAACAATTAAATATGAAAATTATCAGGGAAATAAGATAAAAAAATAAGGACCCAAGAATGGATATACTTATAATTTTTAATGATCAAGTTAAGAAAAAGACATAAATGAGGTAAGTAAACTTTTGAAGTAAAAAACATTTGTTTTAAAATGTTGCGTACTTCAGTCGTGGTAGGAAAAAATGGTGGTATTAGTAAGTATTGGACGTACTTCTTTATTTTTTGTAGGGTCCATATTTATTATTGAGAGCCTGGATTATGAAAGCTCTCACGAGTATTACTTGACTGTAGAAGCCACCGACGGAGGTACACCTTCCTTAAGTGATGTTGCAACCGTGAGCATTAACGTGACAGACATCAATGACAACACCCCAGTGTTCAGCCAGGACACCTTCGTGGTCAGTGAGGATGCGGTTCTTGAGCAGTCTGTCATCACGGTGTGTATTTCACGCGACAGTTTTCTTCTGGATCCTTCCAACAGTTTCTAAAATCAGTGTATATTTGTGGAATGGCCTTATTTGAGAATATTTTGAATATATAAAAATGTCTTGTTAGGCCCATCAATTACTGACTTTATTATACATCATTGCTTTAAAACAGCTCGCTTTTAATACCAGAAATGTAAAAAACTTCCATCCTTCCTTAGCGGTCTCATAAACAGTGTGGTATTCTCTAGGTTATGGCTGATGATGCTGATGGACCTTCAAACAGCCACATCCACTATTCCATCACAGATGGCAATCAAGGAAGTCCTTTTACAATTGACCCTGTCAAGGGAGAAGTGAAAGTGACCAAACTTCTGGACCGGGAAACAGTAAGTGGGAAAGTTGGGTACATATTGCTTACAGATCAGTAAACAGAAGTGCTTTCTGTGCATATCTGCTGGGTGTGAAGTGAAGTACCAAAAGGAGAGACCCGGCCTTTTCAAGAAGTGACAAGCACGATACAAAAACTCGGGACCAGCAGTTGGCATAATGGCTATGTCGCTGGACTCCCATGTAGTCGACCGTGGTTCGAGTCCTGGACCCAGTGGCCTAAACACACCGGGCGTGTGTGTGTGCGTGCCCAAGATCCTGAGAGGAGAATAGAGGAGAGGGGATTGTGGCGTGGCCATCTGCCCTGGGGGGTGATTTCTTGCTTTCTGTCTCTTGGTCTTTCTGGTGAGCACACGTGCCCTATAGCTCCCTACCCCGGGAAAAATAAAATAAAAAGATACAAAAACTCTAAAAGCATTTACAATGTGAAAATCCCAAGAATTTGTTTGTTGCCAATAGGAAGTTCACATAATAAAAGATTATATTTGGTAAGAAATTACTGTGGCTCCATAGAGTTAGAAGCTGAGTTTTAATAAGAGCAATGGCTTGGAAAACCATAGCAGGTGAGAGAATGGAATTCCCTGCTAAGAACCGCATGCACAAAGGCGAGAGGACAGAAGCCAAGCAGTCGAAGGGAGCACCGTGTGGTTCTATTGGAGAAGTCATACAGAGAAGCAGAAGATAGAAGGGAACAAATCTTGGGTCCTCAGAAAACCAGGACCAGAGGTTCAGAGCTGATGCACAGGCAGTAGGGAAGCTCTGAATCTGTGGGAGTTGAGGTATGTTACGAGGAGACACCATGGGAGGTTAACCCTGGCGTAAGTCTAAGTGTTCTTTAGAGTAGTGAGAGAGCACAACGGTAGGAAAGCTGTCCACAGTGGAGAAGCAGCAAGGGCCTGATTGGGAAAATAGCAGTGAACATTGAGCAAAATACAAATGGGGCCAGCAGGTGGCGTGGTGGTTAAGGCACTGGATTTCCACATGGCCTACTGCAGTTTGAGTCCTGGACCCAGCCGGTTGGAAATCACAAGTGAATAGACAAATGAAGCAACTTTGCAAAGGAAACATGAGAGTCCGCAAAACTTAGACAGCGGCGGCGTCAGACGTGACTCGTTTTTTGCTGCTGCTCTTTTGTTTTTTTCCGTCTTGCTGACTGAGGCATTGGAGAGTCATGAGATAGCAACCAGTAGGGACCAGGGGACATTGATGAATGTGGCTTTGGGTATACTGGTGTTAAGAGGAAAATGGCACATTCACGTAGAATTCTTCAGCCAGTACATGGAGATTTTAGTCACTCGTTGAGACTTGAAAGCTGGAAATGGAGATGCGGTAGATGGGGATGGTCAGAGAAGTGACCTGAAGGATTGAGGTAAATGTCAACAGGTGAGCAGAGGCAAGCCAGACTGAGCATCCGCTTACCCACCCACTCCAGCTCAGGCGGGAGGGGTGGCAGAACCTGGATCTGCCCCAGAACGGCAGTGACCTGACCTGGAGGACTGGTACAGGAAGCCGTGGTTTGAGGAATTAGAAGGACATTGGTGATGATAAAGAATGCACTTTCAGGGACCAGCAGTTAGCGTAATGGCTATGTCGCTGAACTCCCACGTAGTTGACTGCGGTTCGCGTCCCGGACCCAGTGGCTTAAACTCAGGCCGGCGCGTGTGCGTGCGTGCCCAAGATCCCGAGAGGAGAATGGAGGAGAAGGGATTGCGACGTGGCCATCCCCCCTGGGGGGTGATTTCTCGCTTTCTTTCTCTCTGTCTCTCTCTCTCTCTGTCTGGCGAGCGCACGTGCCCTGTAGCGAAAACCTCTCCAAAAAAAAAAAAGAATGCACTTTCGGAAAAGTAACAGGCATGTCGAAGATTAGAGGAATTTGGGGAAATAGCGATGAAATATCAAAGTACCAGTTCTTGCATTTCTCTTCTTACTTGCAATTTTTGAGTAGAGACTTTCCGTTTTGCCCAGGATTACTATACTGCTAACAGAATGAAATGCAGTGATTTTCACAAAGAGCCCAGATCCTTTAATATACACGCCTATCTGTGGTGAGATGCAGAGAAGCTAACGCTGTTTCCCAAGCTAATTGGCCTTCAGAACACTTTTATGTTATAGCACCATGGAGGACTAATGTTCTTCAGAAGGTATCCTGGGCTTTACCCAGCTTTCTGGCATCTTCCATTAATCCTTGTAGGTAAATCCTGAAATAGATCTATCTCACTTCAGTTTTTTGTTTTTTTTTTTTTAGTTAATTTATATCTCCCATAGCGAGGCAGAGGAAGACTAAGAGATGCACCTCAATTAGGGTACTGATGCTGCAATCCAGCTCCGGATGATGGGCATGTGGGCAGGTGCATGGCCAGGGGATGAGGGCGGTCCCTTCCCACATGAGTCAGCCTTGCAGAGCATGGTATTTACTGCTATACCTCCACTGGCCACACGCCTTAATGTCTCGTTGTGGGAGGTCACAGCGACATCATCTTGAGGGATTTAGACAGCTAAGTACAACCTAAGTGTGAGATTGCCCAGAGGTGTTGGAAATGTGTCAGCCCTCGAGGGTGAGGGAGACTGTCTCCATCTGACTGAGAGCAAGACCTTGGCCCTAGGGAAGTTGCATTCCATACTCATATTGTTACTGAAGAGACGATGTTTGAAATATGTCAGCATTGTTTTTCTAATCATCCGTACTACTTTTCTGATGATTTATGTTGCTAGAACTGCAGATTTTTCCCCTTTTTTTTTCTTAACTGCCAGTGGGCATGTGCACTTGCCAGAGAGAGGAAGAAAGCACCCCCTGATGGGGTGTGTTCACACTACAATCCCTTCTCAGTCATTCTCTCCATCCTGTCATGATTTAGGACACACGTGTTACATGGTCTAGGGGTGTCTTTCAAGCTGCTGGGGGCCAGAATTAATATTGCGGTTGGCCATGTGGGATCAGGCTCCAGCTATAGAGCTGAACGGAGAACAACAAGTTTTTAAAGATAAAAAACTCTTTAACAAAATGAATACATTTTTGAGAGGCATAAAAGAATCTAATCATTATCGTAACTTTCTGTGTTGGGAAGAGACACATTACGTGCAGCGCACTCATTTGTAGGTTAAGGAAGCGCCGTGAAGGGTACAGCAGACAAGGACAGGCGATGGGCCTCTGCGCTTCCAAATTGTCAGGACACTTCTGATTTTTTTGGAGAGGTTTTTGCTATAAGACGTGTGCTCGCCAGGATGACAGAGAGACAGAGAGAGATAGAAAGCGAGAAATCACCTGCCGGGGGGATGGCCACACCGCAATCCCTTCTCCTCCATTCTCTTCTCGGGATCTTGGGCACGCACATACATGTGCCTGGTGTGAGTTTAAGCCACCGGGTCCGGGACTTGAACTGCTGTCGGCATCATGGGAGTTCAGTGACATAGCCATTACACTAACTGCTGGTCCCAGGACACTTCTGATTTAAACCTTATGTGTTGTCCTCATGAAAATGAACATGCGTATTGTCTTCACCCCCCGGCAGATTTCAGGTTACACACTCACTGTGCAAGCTTCTGATAACGGTAACCCACCCCGCGTCAACACGACCACTGTGAACATCGACGTGTCTGACGTGAACGACAACGCTCCGGTCTTCTCCCAGGGAAACTACAGCGTGATTATCCAGGTGAGCCTGCAGCGCCGAAGGCTCTGGGAATACATTGAAAATAAGCTCCCCCACTGGCCACAAAGTCATTGGGTTGAAATATCTTCCTTTTCCAAAGACTGCTTTTTTGAAAAAGAGGAGGATAAAATTCGAGTTCTCTGTCAATAGTGAAAGATGAGAATCCTCGAGCCGCAACCTCATCTTACGCCCTTGTCTTTGTGCTCTGGTTTCTGAGCTCGCTGCTCTGCAGCCGCAGCAGCTTATTTCCTGATGACACCCTCTGCTGCTGTGGCTTTTCCTTGTATTCCTCCTCGCCCTCCTCACCTCTCCTTTCTTCTCACACACATTTCCTCACACCTCCCTTCACCCCTGCTCTGTTCCCTCCCCCTCCCCACGGCCCCTTCCACCCTCCACCTCTTACCTGTCTTCCTTTCAGTTGGAGCAGAACTGTGTGTTTTCTGTGTATTTTATATTTTAGAAAACTCACGTGTGTCACATACCACATAGAACTGATGTGTTGAGAGGTTCTTGTTTTGTGTTATTTTTAATTTTGTTCAGGAAAACAAGCCCGTGGGTTTCAGTGTGCTGCAGCTAGTGGTAACAGACAAGGATTCTTCTCATAACGGCCCACCCTTCTTCTTTACTATCGTGAGTGGAAATGAGGACAGGTCTTTTGAAATTAACCAGCAAGGAGTCCTCCTAACTTCAGCCGCCATAAAGCAGAAGGTGAAGGACCATTACTTCCTGCATGTGAAGGTATGAAGTCTTCCGTTAGGGTGTTCTTGTGGATTCATAGGGCCGAACTTCTTTCTGGTTATCTTCTTATGTTTGAACAGCTTACAGAAAAAAAAAAGAATTTACAGAATTATAATTTTTTGCCCTGCCATACCTTCATTCTGTTCAGCTGTACTTTGAGGGGCTCATTTGGTTGTTAATCATAGACATTGGTGGAGCTGAATTTCAGTATGAGTTAGTGATAGGGCTATACATAAATCTGTCCATTCCCTTACTATGCTTCTCATGTGAAGAAGTAGGAATCCCTAACCGATGGTAATTTTGTAGAACTTGAACATGTAGACGTGTGTGTGTTTTCTTTCTTTTTTTTTTTTTTTAAAGATTTTTGCAATAGGGCACATGCACTCGTTGGAGAGAGACAGAGAGAGAGAGAAAGTGAAGGTGGGTGGCCACGTTGTAGTCCCTTCTCCTCCATTTTCCTCTCTGGAGTTTGGACACACATCATATGCCCAGTGTGATTTTCAAGCCTCTGGATACGGGATTCATACTGCGGTCGGCCGTGTGGGAGTCCGTTACCTTCACCACTACACCACCATTACACTGTCTTGTAAATGTGTTTTTTATTAAGAGGTTGTAAACAGTGACACAGACAGAGATACGTTTGGTTTTTCTTGTAGGTGGCCGATAATGGAAAGCCTCCGTTGTCTTCTTTGACATATATTGACATCAGGGTTATTGAAGAGAGCATCCATCCTCCTGCGATTTTGCCATTGGAAATTTTTATTACTGCGTTTGGAGAGGAATACTCTGGTGGTGTCATTGGGAAGATTCACGCGACAGACCAGGATGTGTATGACACGCTCACCTACAGTCTAGATCCCCAAATGGACAATCTGTTCTCCGTTTCCAGCACTGGGGGAAAGCTGATCGCACACAAAAAGCTCGACGTCGGGCAGTACCTTCTCAATGTCAGCGTGACAGATGGGAAGTTCACCACGGTGGCGGACATCACAGTGCACATCAGGCAGATAACGCAGGAGATGCTGAACCACACCGTTGCCATCCGCTTTGCCAATCTCACTCCGGAGGAATTTGTGGGAGACTACTGGCGCAACTTCCAGCGAGCCTTACGGAACATCCTGGGTGTGAAGAGGACCGACATACAGGTTCTGAGCTTGCAGCCGGCGGAACCCCCTCCGCATCTCGATGTCTTACTCTTTATAGAGAAATCGGGTAGCGCCCTGCTTTCCACAAAAGCCCTCCTGCACAAGATTAATTCCTCGGTAACCAACATCGAGGACATCATTGGTGTGAGGATACTGGATGTGTTCCAGAAGCTCTGTGCTGGACTGGATTGCCCATGGACGTCCTGTGATGAGAAAGTATCAGTGGATGAAAGTGTCATGTCGACGCATAGCACAGCCAGACTGAGTTTCGTGACTCCTCGCCACCACAGAACAGCTGTGTGTCTCTGTAAAGGTAATGCGTGTGGGTGTGTGGGGAAAGGAGATGAGGATGACTCTTGTGTTAATGCGTCCTTAGATGACTAGACAATAAAGGTCATTCTCTGGAAATTCCTATTCATTAGCTCTCTCCCCTCTCTTCTCTGAATAAAGAGGGGAAGTGCCCACCTGTGCACCATGGATGTGAAGACAGTCTGTGCCCCGATGGGTCTGAATGCATCGCTGACCCCAGAGAGGAGAAGTATACCTGTGTCTGTCCCGGTGGCAAGTTTGCTCAGTGCCCAGGTGAGTTTAATGGTGAAGCCAACTTATAAATCATTTCCAGCGTTTCTTTTCATTTTTTTCTGTGTTAGAGTCAGAAAAGAGAATGACAGTGGTTGCTTCTTTTTCTTTTATAGTAACACACTTCTGAGTTTGTAGCTTGGCGTTCTTCCTTCTTTTTATCAGTGCTAATATGCATGTGTAGGTCTATATTAGAGGTGTTTCTTTTTTCTCTCTCATTTGTTTTAAAACAAAACAAGGGGGCCAGTAAGTGGCAGGGTGGTTAAGGCACTGGGTTCCCACATGGCTGACTACGGTTCTAGTCCCTGACCTGATGGCTTGCTTTCTCTCTCTCTCTGTCTCTCTGACTTTCTCGTTTCTCTCAGGTGTGCACACATGTCCTATAGCAAATTAACAAGAGTAATGATCATAATAAATAAAACTAAATAATTCTTAAAAACAAAAACAAAATCTTGAGTTTGATTGTATTTCACAAAGTCCTCTACTATATGAAGGGCATCCCTCCAAGCCAACACATATAAACTAATTCTTTACAATAGTTGTAAAATATAGATGTTATTCGACCTAGGATGAGGTTAAATCCTGATAGCTCCATTGTCAGTTAAAACATATTGTACATCAAGCTATGTGCAGTTCTTCTGCCAGTCCCCGGAACTTAGCCTAGCCCTCCTATTGCTGACGGCGTATCATTATGTACCTTGTAAAGTTGAAACTTCGTAAGTTGGGGACCATCTGTCCATGGTAGCATCGTCATAACATTTGTTTGACATTTTCCTTACGTACAGATTAAAATCATCTTTGGACCCTTTTATATTGGTGCTTTGATTTCTGTACAGTAGATTCTAAAATGACAATGTGCTGCATCAAAAGTAAACTACACTTAATTTTTTTTCGTTAAACGAAATCAAGGGAATGCATGCACATGCAGGAAGAACAGATAGAGAGGGGGGGCTGTTTTTGATACAGACTTGCTGTTGCAGCCCTCTGTGCTGCCCTGCCAGTTAGCTGAGGTGACAGTGCATACTGCTGTGCCTGGCCTGCTCAGGTTGTGCTGGGATTGGAACCCGGGCCTCCTGTGTGACCCCAGCCTTGCATAGCAGTGGTCCACTATTCGCGTCATCACTACCGAGTCACACTTTGACATTTTATTCATTTATTTATTTTTTATTTTCAGATTAATTTCACATTTTATATTAAGTCTTCACCGTGCCATATACTATATATATAAATATTTTTTTCAGTAGAGAACTTTATATTCTTTTGTCTGTTAAATGTTTCTTGCCTTTGCACCAAACCACCCACCACCCGCTCTCTACCACCCATTCCCCTCCGTTATAGTCTCTGGCATCTACGTTTATTCTCTCTACTGTCCTATTTTCAGATTGCTCGGTTTCTGCCTGAGAGTGCAGATAGTTGGTACAAATCGAGTGGGAGATAGATATACTTGTGTATCTTCCAAGTCTGGCTTACTTCACCCAACATTAAGTCTTCTGTATTCATCCCCTTTGAATCAAATGATAGAGTGTCATTGTTCCTTACAGCTGAGTAATAATTCCATAGTGTAGATGGTACCCTAGACAGAGTCTCACCACACTACCCCAGGAACTGAACCTGGGCCTCCATTTTTAAGGATACCATTTTATTTGTTCTCAAAAAGTTGTACAAAATTCCTGTTTTTTCAGTCATGTATAAAGGTTTTATGCCATAATCTCTCACAAATGTTGGAGGCTTTCTATTAAAAAACAAATCTTCCCACCTAGTGGTTCTGATATGATATCTATCATTAGTTTAATTTGCACTTCTCTGGCTACTTATGAAAGTTGTATTTTTTGTTTTGTTTTGTTTTCTCTCTCTCTCCTTTTTTTTTTTTTTTTTTTTAAAGGGTTTTTTGCTGTACCGCATCTCGATGTCTTACTCTTTATAGAGAAATCGGGTAGCACCCTGCTTTCCACAAAAGCCCTCCTGCACAAGATTAATTCCTCGGTAACCAACATCGAGGACATCATTGGTGTGAGGATACTGGATGTGTTCCAGAAGCTCTGTGCCGGACTGGATTGCCCATGGACGTCCTGTGATGAGAAAGTATCAGTGGATGAAAGTGTCATGTCGACGCATAGCACAGCCAGACTGAGTTTCGTGACTCCCCGCCACCACAGAACAGCTGTGTGTCTCTGTAAAGGTAATGCGTGTGGGTGTGTGGGGAAAGGAGATGAGGATGACTCTTGTGTTAATGCGTCCTTAGATGACTAGACAATAAAGGTCATTCTCTGGAAATTCCTATTCATTAGCTCTCTCCCCTCTCTTCTCTGAATAAAGAGGGGAAGTGCCCACCTGTGCACCATGGATGTGAAGACAGTCTGTGCCCCGATGGGTCTGAATGCATCGCTGACCCCAGAGAGGAGAAGTATACCTGTGTCTGTCCCGGTGGCAAGTTTGCTCAGTGCCCAGGTGAGTTTAATGGTGAAGCCAACTTATAAATCATTTCCAGCGTTTCTTTTCATTTTTTTCTGTGTTAGAGTCAGAAAAGAGAATGACAGTGGTTGCTTCTTTTTTTTTTATAGTAACACACTTCTGAGTTTGTAGCTTGGCGTTCTTCCTTCTTTTTATCAGTGCTAATATGCATGTGTAGGTCTATATTAGAGGTGTTTCTTTTTTCTCTCTCATTTGTTTTAAAACAAAACAAGGGGGCCAGTAAGTGGCAGGGTGGTTAAGGCACTGGGTTCCCACATGGCTGACTACGGTTCTAGTCCCTGACCTGATGGCTTGCTTTCTCTCTCTCTCTGTCTCTCTGACTTTCTCGTTTCTCTCAGGTGTGCACACATGTCCTATAGCAAATTAACAAGAGTAATGATCATAATAAATAAAACTAAATAATTCTTAAAAACAAAAACAAAATCTTGAGTTTGATTGTATTTCACAAAGTCCTCTACTATATGAAGGGCATCCCTCCAAGCCAACACATATAAACTAATTCTTTACAATAGTTGTAAAATATAGATGTTATTCGACCTAGGATGAGGTTAAATCCTGATAGCTCCATTGTCAGTTAAAACATATTGTACATCAAGCTATGTGCAGTTCTTCTGCCAGTCCCCGGAACTTAGCCTAGCCCTCCTATTGCTGACGGCGTATCATTATGTACCTTGTAAAGTTGAAACTTCGTAAGTTGGGGACCATCTGTCCATGGTAGCATCGTCATAACATTTGTTTGACATTTTCCTTACGTACAGATTAAAATCATCTTTGGACCCTTTTATATTGGTGCTTTGATTTCTGTACAGTAGATTCTAAAATGACAATGTGCTGCATCAAAAGTAAACTACACTTAATTTTTTTTCGTTAAACGAAATCAAGGGAATGCATGCACATGCAGGAAGAACAGATAGAGAGGGGGGGCTGTTTTTGATACAGACTTGCTGTTGCAGCCCTCTGTGCTGCCCTGCCAGTTAGCTGAGGTGACAGTGCATACTGCTGTGCCTGGCCTGCTCAGGTTGTGCTGGGATTGGAACCCGGGCCTCCTGTGTGACCCCAGCCTTGCATAGCAGTGGTCCACTATTCGCGTCATCACTACCGAGTCACACTTTGACATTTTATTCATTTATTTATTTTTTATTTTCAGATTAATTTCACATTTTATATTAAGTCTTCACCGTGCCATATACTATATATATAAATATTTTTTTCAGTAGAGAACTTTATATTCTTTTGTCTGTTAAATGTTTCTTGCCTTTGCACCAAACCACCCACCACCCGCTCTCTACCACCCATTCCCCTCCGTTATAGTCTCTGGCATCTACGTTTATTCTCTCTACTGTCCTATTTTCAGATTGCTCGGTTTCTGCCTGAGAGTGCAGATAGTTGGTACAAATCGAGTGGGAGATAGATATACTTGTGTATCTTCCAAGTCTGGCTTACTTCACCCAACATTAAGTCTTCTGTATTCATCCCCTTTGAATCAAATGATAGAGTGTCATTGTTCCTTACAGCTGAGTAATAATTCCATAGTGTAGATGGTACCCTAGACAGAGTCTCACCACACTGTGGTCTTCCCCCTCAGTTTCCTGGTCAGCCAGCATCACAGGTATGTGCATGTACCTGGCATGTTTGGGTCACCCCAGGAACTGAACCTGGGCCTACATTTTTAAGGATACCATTTTATTTGTTCTCAAAAAGTTGTAAAAAATTCCTGTTTTTTCAGTCATGTATAAAGGTTTTATGCCATAATCTCTCACAAATGTTGGAGGCTTTCTATTAAAAAACAAATCTTCCCACCTAGTGGTTCTGATATGATATCTATCATTAGTTTAATTTGCACTTCTCTGGCTACTTATGAAAGTTGTATTTTTTGTTTTGTTTTGTTTTCTCTCTCTCTCCTTTTTTTTTTTTTTTTTTTTTATAGGTATTTTTGCATGAGGGGGTAGGGCGTATGCTTTCTAGAGAGACAGAAAACGAGAACTCACCCTCCAGGGGAATGACCATGCCGTGGTCCCTTCTTTCTCCTCTTGGGATTTTGGGCATGCCCGCACATACATGCACTGAGCATGAGTTTAAAGCTTCTGAGTCTGAGACTTGAACCACGTTTGGCCATGTTAGAATCCAGCATCTTAACTACTATGCCACCAGCTGCCAGAGGGTGTGTGGGCTTGCCAGAGAGAGACAGAGGCAGCACTAGAGGGAAATGGGAAAAAGTACCTCCTATGGGGGATGCCCACACCACAATCCCTTCTCCATTTCTCCCTCCTTTCAGGGTTTTGGGCACATACATACATGAGCCCTGCATGTTTTTCCAGCTGCTCAAAAGTTGTTCTTTGTTTTATTCATTGCCTGTCAGCATTTCTTCCTCTTCTATTTTTTTTTTTTTTTAAGAATTATTTTATTTAGGGACCAGCAGTTGGCATAATGGCTATGTCGCCGACTTCCCATGTAGTCAACCCGGTTTCAGTCCCGGATCCAGTGGCTTAAACTCAGGCTAGGCATGTGTGTGTGCGTGCCCAAGATCCCAAGAGGAAAATGGAGGAGAAGGGATTGCGGTGTGACCATCCCCCTGGGGGGTGATTTCTCGCTTTCTGTCTCTGTTTCTCTCTGTCTTTCTGGCGAGCGTACATGCCCTATAGCAAAAAGTTCTCCCAAAAAAAAGAAATATTTTATTTAACTTTTTTTATTATTATTATTATATTATTATTATTTTAATTTGACCAGTGAAAGACAGAGAGAGAGAAAGCAGGCTGCCAGGTCTAAGACTTGAACCACAGTCAGTCATGTGGGAATCAAGCATCTAACCACCACGCCACCTGCCAACCCCAGCATTTCCTCTTCTGTGGCTTGCCTGTTCATATTGTTTGCTTGTGTATTACTTGTCTGTCTCTTACTGTCAACGTGTAGAGTTCTTTATGTGTAATGTGTATTGTCTGCATTACAATTCCCTCTGCTATATATTATTTTTGTCTCTTGATTTATTAAATGAATATTTTGTCTTTTTAGAATTTAATTTTTGTTTAGTCAACTTTGCATAATTTTACATAAAAATTTCACCTCTGGAGCTTGATATTTTCATCTTTGGGGAATGGAGATTGTTGTGTATTTTGCTTGGGAAGGTTTCCCAAGCCACCTTGAAACTGTGTAACAATTGTCTTCTAATTTTATGCTGAACATTTTTAGCTCTCTCATTATTCTCATTTCTCTGTGAAGTACTTAACTTTATTCTCTTCCAAAGGGAGAGCTGCTGGGTCATTGGGAAAGTCATAACGCGTTTTCACATAGAAAAACACGTCATGACTCCCGACAACCTGTTAGTTACGCTGTACTAACCCTACTTTAGTTAGTAAGTAGAATTTCCCCATGGAATGCATTTATGTTATGATCTTAAATAAAAACTTAGACCAGTCTCTAAGGGGAAAAAAATCATACTTTAAAGACTATGATTAGAGCCAACCAGCGGCTTGCTGGTAAAGGCAGCTAGATCCCATATAGTTGACAGCATGAGTCAAGTCCTGGACCCTGTGGCTTGAAAAACATGCTGGGCGTGTATGTGTGCACCCAAAATTTGGAGAGTAGAATGGAGAAGAGGTTACGTCGTGGCCATGTCCCCTGGCACGCTTTCTCACTTTCTCACTAGTCTCTGTTTTTCTCTCTCCTTCTCCAAGTGCACACACCTTATCACAGGTACTTTTTTAAAAAAAGGATGGTCAACTTGGTTATGATTTTTTTTTTTCCCTTGGTGATTCACAGGGAGTTCATCTATAACATTCACTGGAAACAGCTTTGTCAAGTACCGTTTAATGGAAAATGAAAACAAATTAGAGATGAAATTGACAATGAGGCTCAGAACCTATTCTACTCATGCAGTTGTAATGTATGCTCGAGGCACTGACTATAGTATCTTGGAGGTATGTATGTATATGATTTGTGCCTCAAATTGTAGAAGACTGAAAATTTAAATTCTCTTTTGTTCTGCTTGTCTGTTGCAAACAGAGTAAGTCAAATGGACGCATTCCACATTCATGTCATTCATTGATCCCTATACAGCTTTTAGACTTCGTGGGGTAAAAAGCTCTTTTGGTTCTGAAGTGGTAGCTCTTTACTTCTTTTTTTACAAACAGTTTTAGGCATGAGGGACAATTAACATTCGAACTCTAGATTTTACATCTTATTAATATTATGGAGAACTTAACAGACAGATTCTATTTATGCCAAGAGGGATAAGTTATCTTGCCTGCTTGTTTTTTTTTTTTTTTTTTTTTTTTTTTTTAACATTTTGGCTTTTTGTAGTACCTGAAGCTCTTGTGGTATGTGTGTTCAATTAACAGTTAATTATTAGTCAATTCTAGGCCACTTTTTTAGACATACAGTTGGCACTGGACCTGGATGTCTTTAAAAGATCCATTTTTATTATTGGTACAGTGGACAAATTTAAGTAGAATGCATTCTATTCTACTTAAATTCAAGACCTTATTCTTTCTTCATTTGCCAAACATACGTCCCTTACAGATTTGTCATCAGAGACTGTCATTGAAAGCTTGTGAAGCGTTCAGTGTGAACAGTAATTGTTTCTGTCCTAGATTCACAATGGAAGACTGCAGTACAAGTTTGACTGTGGAAGTGGCCCTGGCATTGTATCCGTTCAGAGCATTCAAGTCAACGATGGGCGGTGGCATGCAGTGTCTCTTGAAGTGAATGGAAACTATGCGAGGTTGGTTCTCGACCAAGTCCATACTGCGTCAGGCACGGCCCCGGGGACTCTGAAAACCCTCAATCTGGACAACCATGTGTTTTTTGGTGGCCACATCCGTCAGCAAGGAGCAAGGAATGGAAGGAGCCCCCAAGTTGGTAATGGTTTCAGGGGTTGTATGGACTCCATCTATTTGAATGGGCAGGAGCTTCCTTTAACTAGCAAACCAAGAAGCTATGCACACATCGAAGAGTCAGTGGATGTCTCTCCTGGGTGCCTGTTAACAGCCACAGAAGACTGTTCGAGCAACCCGTGCCAGAACGGAGGCGTTTGCAACCCATCACCCACTGGAGGTAGGCTTCATGATGTTACAGACTTTCAAATGCAACACTGTATACCTGTAAGGGAACGTTCCCGTTTTTGTTTTTCTTCTTTTTATTTAAATACGGTGGTCAAATATTGTAGTCAGAGTTGCAGGTTTTTAGTATAAATTATAAGAGAGCACAGCAGGGATTAGAATTCTTCCCAGCGGCTAGGCTGAAGAGAAGTCTCTCTGCTGGCCGAGCCTCTGCAGTCCTGTTGCAGGCACTTGAGCCAGATGAAGTACATGTCTCATGCTGCCAGGTGTCCATGGGCACAACTCTGAACTCTTCAAACTCCATAGGTGTGGGTGCTGGGGAACTTAGAATCAATACCACTTAGTTCTTGTTTGTGTTCCAGCTTCTATTTGATGGCACAGCACACACGGCCTGCTAGAGTTTAACTAGTACTAGGAGATGGCCGTATGGTTTCCCAGAAGGCTTTGAGCCCCTCTTGAAGTATTGCAATGTCTCTCTGTCTTGAAGCCCTAGTGTAGTGGAATACTGTATCCTGCTCTTCCTTTAAGCCACTTATCAGTGACAGAATGCAATTATGAATGTGACCTTCACCGTGCCTTATAAATAGAACTTGGTGTAATTAATAGAGCAGAAATTAAAAATTCTGCAAGTGGTTTTTTAAAAAACCTGATTTCCTACTGTTTTCTTTGGAACGTGTACATGCATACCATGTGCATAGAGTAGGTGGTCTGAAAGTCAGTGGTGTAAAACAAGTTTATATTGTACTTATATTAAATATTTACCCAAATCAGGTCAGTAAGAAGGGTTTCCTCACTGTGTCACTTAGGGGTGAGGCTGAGAGTGGCATTTTGAAGGGATGAGCCCAAGACTGGCATTTTCTTGAAATGTGTGCTACATTGACCACCAAAACGTGAAGAAAGGAACAGGGTGATGGCTGTGCACTAGCTCGTAAAGCTCCGAACCCAGAGAACCATACTTAGCCTGACACGAGCCCACGGTGGTGGCCACGTTAAAGGGCCAGGGAAGAACCGTCCTGAGGTGTTCTCCACAAGCACATAGTTGGAAATCATCCACCGCACTACCGGATGGTCCCATTGTCATGAAGAAGTCTGACATTCTTTGGGGTCATTTAGGCGAATTTGATGATCTCCTTTCTTAGGTTTGAATCATTTATATTGGGTTGTTGGAAAAGCCATGGCGTATTTTTTTCTGTTTCTCTTTGCAAAGATGCATCGCAACTTTTCCAACAACCCAGTAGTACTTGAAGTGACATTAACCCTCATTATCATTTCATGGAACCCTTAAATGTTTGTGAACTGCAACAAATTGAGTTATCAAGGAGCCTTGTCTATGTCCTTGTTCACTCAAATAAAGTAGTACTTTTCTTGTTCTTTATGTTTGGCCTAATAATCTCATGGAGATTATTATGAAGTAAAGTTCACTATGAGTCGTCCCGTCAGTTCCTTGTATTTTGGTTATAGCCATAGCGGAAGGCTTGTCAGTGTAGACAACTTTTTACTAGAGGAAAAAATGGGAACTTTGCTCATTTTTATGGCTCTTTGAGAAGTAAATCTTTATGTAACCTTAAATCAAAGGTAAAATACCAACAGAATAAGGACTCTTCTTTTTTTTTTCTTAATTTATTGTTTAGAAAGAGTTTTACTGGTAGGATGTGTGTGCTCGCTAGAGAGACAGAGGAAGTCAAAGAGACAAAAAGTGAAAATCACCCCTTAGGGAGGATGGCATTGCGGTAATCCCTTTTCCAATCTACCCTTGCGATTTGGGGCACACATGCACCCGACATGAGTTTTAAACTGCCAGGTCCAGAATTTGAACCCTGGTCAACTGGAAATCCAGCAATGTAACCTTTATGTCATATGTCGATCCCGGACTCTTCTCTTTTTGCATCATTGAGTGATAGAGCTTCCTTGTTCCCTTTGCTCATTTAGGTTATTACTGCAAATGCAGTGCCTTATACATAGGGACATACTGTGAGGTGAGCGTCAACCCGTGTTCCTCCAACCCATGCCTCTACGGTGGGACGTGTGTCGTAGACAATGGAGACTTTGTCTGCCAGTGTCGAGGGTTGTACACTGGTCAGAGGTATGTGTATTTTTCTTAACTTTCATGATTGATTATTGTGTTATATTTTTTAAAACATGTGAATTGCACATGTAAAAAGTCTGTACATTCATGTGTTAAAGCTCTCTTTTACTGTATTTGTAACGCAATCATAAGTTTATGCATATTCTTCCATATTCTTTAGGTGCCAGCTAAGTCCATACTGCAGAGATGATCCCTGCAAAAACGGTGGGACGTGTTTTGATAGTCTGGATGGTGCTGTTTGCCAGTGTGATTCAGGTTTTAGGGGAGAAAGGTAAATGACTTCTCTCAAGATTTTTTTATTTGTACTTTTTCATAGTGTAATATTGATTAGCACGTATAAGAAAACTTCATCAATTTGGGCTTTGTTGCTTCAGAATTTTGATAATCCTTATACTGGCTCCTTGTATAATTGATTTCTTTTTTCACTCTTTAAAATACCAAACAGAGGAATATAGTATGTAATGCTTGAAAATACCTATACGCTAGAGATACTATTTATAAACAAAGAATTAGAGCATTTTGCAAACAGTAAATGCTTGTGGGAAGAGATGATCACGTTTTTAAAAGCATACACCTGGAGCTGTAGCCTTCCAAATGTGAGAATGAGGATCATGATAGTTTTTTGTAACATGCTGTAACTAACACAGATAAAGCATTTGAAAATCTTTTTCAACTCTTACTGTCTTTCGTAATCTCTTCTGTAATCTTGTGAAGTGGTCATGGTTTTCCAGGTGAAGAAAACAAGGCTTGGAGGTGCCTGGAACAAACCTCGAAAGAGTCAGATGAGAAATTTTAGTTTCAGATTTCACTTTAGTTTAGATTTTCACCAATTCAGTTAAAAAAATGACTCAGTGTGTGTTACCTGTAAGTGCTTAGGGCAAACTTAGATAAACCTTCACTGTCTTTCAGAGTGGCCCTCTTGCAGGGTTTCGCATGTAGTTTTGCTATGGTTACGGTTGTAATCCTGAAATTTTGCCATTGCTCACTTGGCCTTAAATCATAAATTGACTTTTTTTTTAGAGAGGTTTTTGCTATAGGGCGCGTGCGCTCGCCAGAAAGACAGAGAGACAGAAAGCAAGAAATCACCCCCCAGGGGGATGGCCACGCCGCAATCCCTTCTCCTCTTGGGATCTTGGGCACACATGCTCATGCACCTGGCATGAGTTTAAGCCACTAGGTCCAGGACTTGAACTGCAGTCAACTTACATGGGAGTCCGGCGACATAGCCATTACGCTAACTGCTGGTCCCATAAATGGACCTTTTTAATTCTAGAAAATGAAACTCTTTAATATATTTGTCAAAAAATGTATCAGTCATTAACATGTTTATAACAGGTGAGGATGAGGGATGGTAAAAGGTGAATTTTATTAAAAGGGAAGAAGAGTTAAGAAGTAGCAGGTCATTGGGCACAGTGTGAGATACCTCCATTTTGGAAAGGTAGAGGAGCCTTGGTTTTGAAATTCTGTAGAGATGAGGAGTCCAGGAAAGTTTTCAACAGGGAATAATTGCCTTCTGTTCTTTCATGCTCTATGGAACTGTTATATTCCCAAACAGAAACATTTTCTTAGAAATTAGCAGGGTTTGGGACCAACAGTTAGCATAATGGCTATGTCGCTGGACTCCCACATAGTTGACTACGGTTCAAGTCCCGGACCCGGTGGCTTAAACTCACACTGGGCGCGTGTGCGTGCGTGCCCAAGATCCCAAGAGCAGAATGGAGGAGAAAGGATTGCGGCGTGGCCATCCCCCCTGGGAAGTGATTTCTTGCTTTCTGTCTCTCTCTATCTGTCTGGCAAGCACACGTACCCTATAGCAAAAACCCCTCCAAAAAAGAAAAAAAGAAATTAGAAGAGTTTAAAAATTATCATTTATCAAAATGGCTGTTCTAATGTCTAAATGATGACTTGGCTATCAGAACTAAAAATAAACTGAAGTGTAGTAATCTGTTGATTCCCAGAAAAATGTCAGCTATATACACATATTGGCTTGGTATGATTGTCTCGCAAATAGGCATCCCCCAAATAACCATGATTAATTATTCCACCGAAGGTTTTTGTTGTCATTGTTTTTGATAGGCTATATTATATGTTGTTTGACATTTTAAGGAGGGATTTAGTTTCCTGGGATTCCAGGCCTGGCATACTCCAGTGTATATTCCAAAGATCTTTCGTCATCCGAGGCTTTCTTGGCAGGTGTCAGAGTGACGTTGACGAATGTGCAGGAAACCCCTGCCGTAACGGCGCCCTCTGTGAGAACACGCACGGCTCCTATCACTGTAACTGCAGCCACGAGTACCGAGGGAGACACTGCGAGGACGCCGCCCCCAATCAGTACGTGTCCACTCCGTGGAATATCGGCTTGGCGGAAGGAATAGGAATTGTTGTTTTCGTAGCAGCCATATTTTTACTGGTGGTGGTGTTTGTCCTCTGCCGCAAGATGACGAGTCGAAAGAAGAAACATCAAGCCGAACCAGAAGACAAACACTTGGGACCAACCACCGCCTTCTTGCAAAGACCGTATTTTGATTCAAAGCTCAATAAGAATATTTACTCAGATATACCACCCCAGGTACCTGTCCGGCCTATCTCCTACACTCCAAGTATTCCAAGTGACTCTAGGAACAATCTTGACAGAAACTCCTTTGAAGGATCTGCTATCCCAGAGCATCCCGAATTCAGCACTTTTAACCCGGAGTCTGTGCACGGACACCGAAAAGCAGTAGCTGTCTGCAGCGTAGCCCCGAACTTGCCGCCCCCACCTCCTTCAAACTCTCCTTCCGACAGTGACTCAATACAGAAGCCGAACTGGGACTTCGACTATGATAGTAAGAGTCATTTTGTTCATCTCACTAAAATGTCAGTGGGATAAACTGACAACAAGCTTTATCCGAGCTACTGGTGGTTCACATCTTTATTAGAGAGAAATTTGGCTCAAAATCGGAAAGTTTTATTACCTTTTGAATAAGTTTTCAGATGGCCTGAGTGCTAGCTGAGCATGGTGGCCATGACGCTACTTTAATTTTAACAATTGAATCTAGTTGTGTTCCAGTTAATGATCCGGAGACATCATTTCATTTCCGTAATTGATACAGATTCTCGGTTGTAATTTTTCAACTTATACAGCAAAAAGAAAAAAAAGAAAGAAAGAAAGAATGAAAGGAAAGAAAAACAACTTAGGGGTGGGGAGCATTTTCATGTTAGGATTTCCCCCCCCCATAGGGCCAGAGGAAGTGGCTGTATTTATATTAGTAGCCTAACATGTATTTGATATTGTTTAAAAGGCAATAATGGGCCACTGTGAAACAAAACCTAACTAGCCTTTGCGGTCTGAGGACATCCCTTGGCCTGTTTATGAAGAATTTCTATTCTGTGAATCTCTAAATTAAACTATTGGGTTTTTTTTATTATTGTTTGTTTTTGTTTCTGTTGAAATTTTACCAGCGGGTATACGTGCTCTCCAGAGAGAAATGGAGAGGGAGAAAGCACCCCTCTGTGGGACAGAGTGACACTGCAGACCCCTCTCCTCCATCCCGTTGGGATTTCAGGCACACATGCACATGTGTCTGGCATGTTTTCCAAGGCATCAGGACTGGGATTCACACTGCATAGCTGGCCAGGTGGAATCCAGTTTCCCTAACCACTAGGCCATGGAGCCTGCCCACATTTGTTTTGTTTTTGAGATATTTCTTTTTCCTTCAGTTTTCATTTATTTAATTTTTTTAACAGTTTATTTTTTCCATGAGAGACAGAGACAGAGCCACTGCAGCAGTTCAGCTGGTTCAGATCACGTGTGCCTGCACGCCTGCTTGTACCAGGCATGCTAAAGGAGTCCCAGAACCCCTCCATGTGGCTGCCTGGCCCTCTAGTTACTCATTTATCACATCAGTGTCAGGCAGGTGTTTGGTAATGCTTGTCGCTATGTGTCAGGATATAGCCATGAAGGGCCAGCAGGTAGAATCGTGGTTAAGGCACTGGACTCCCAGATGGCCGACTATGGTTTGAGTCCTGGACCTGGGGGTTTACTTTCTTCCCCCCCCCCACCTCCTGTCTCTCTCTGATGAGCACATGTACCATATGGCAAATTAAAATTATAATAATAAACAAAATTCTTTAAAAAAAAATAAAAGAAGATACAGCAATGAACAAAACAAATGTCTTGGCCCGCACTCATAGAACTTACTGCTTGTCGTCTCTGCCTCTCTACCTTTCAGCTAAAGTGGTAGACCTTGATCCGTGTCTTTCCAAGAAACCGCTAGAGGACAAGCCTTCACAGCCATACAGTGCCCGGGAAAGCCTGTCTGAAGTGCAGTCCCTCAGCTCCTTTCAGTCGGAATCATGTGATGACAATGGTGAGTAAACAGAATATGCAGGTACCGTGGCTGCTTGCTTGTGTGCCCATGCTGCTCTGGCTACGTTGTTAACATGTATCAGTGGATGCACCCGGTACCCTGTTAACATGTATCAGTGGACTCACCCAATGTTTTCCTATTTCACCCGGACCCTTAAGCAATACCTGAACATAACTTGCATGAACATCTGCTGGAGAATATTTTAAATGTTCTTAATAGTTACTTAACCGTGCCAACTTGTCAGTAATAGGGAAGAAATGTAATCAACTGAAAAACAATTTCTGTTAAATTGATTTTTTTTTTCTTTCTTACACAACAGTAAATGTTAGAGAAGTTTTGTGGGTTTTTCAAAAACCCTTGTAACAACTCCTGCAATAACACATTCACACACCCACGCACCCTCTAAGAAAAGAGATGATAACTGAAATGTTGGATTTCAGGAGTACCTTTGGTATTACAAGGTTTTATTTGTCTCTTCCCCAACCCCACCGCGGCCCCAGCTCCCATTTGGATCAGAGCGTACTGACAGAGCACAGTTTAAGAGATTGCTAGTAAGTTTGATTATATTTCTAATGAAGAAAGTTTCGTAGTGGGATTTTTGATACCAGTTATGTTTATCTGATTTCCTTAGGGCAAATTGCATTGTTAACCAGCTTCAATATACAGACACATACCAGTAGAGAAAATTGTCAATATTCAATAACGCAATAAAGTGTGGTGTTTAGTGGAAATTTTTGGGTCTCAGAATTAGTAAGTTTGAATAGTAACTTTTTCTTGCCTAAAAATGTAATTTGTTGGTACATTTCAAATATTTTATTGGTTTAGAGAAATAACTCAGTAATAATTATTCATAATAACACACACATACACACACACACACACACACACACGCATACATACATACACTCTCCATAAGTCTATAGGTCTATAGTACATTGTAGAGACCATTTCCAAACTCAAGTATATTCCCTTCATTGCTGATTTCAAAGGTACTATATATGATGTTCAAGTACATCTGTCCTTATTACAGAATGGTTTCTTATGTAAGTTTCAATTCTCATTGGTTTGTGTATGCCCTTTACTATAGTTAATTTTTATCTTGGCCCCTAAATAGTGTTCATAGAAACTGTAGATACATATCAGAATTTTGTCAGGATATTTTTCCTTTTTCTAGTTCTTTTTATTGAGACAAAATTCTTCTTTTTTTGGGGTGGGGCGGAGGTTTTTGCTGTAGGGCATGTGTGCTCGCCAGACAGAGACAGAGAGACAGAAAGCAAGAAATCAGCCCCCAGTGGGGATGGCCACGCCGCAATCCCTTCTCCTCCATTCTCTTCTCTGGATCTTGGGCACGCATGCACATGCACCTGGCATGAGTTTTAAGCCATCAGGTCCAGGACGCGAACCGCAGTTGGCTACATGGGAGTCCAGCGACATAGCCATTACGCTAACTGCTGGTCCCAAGAGAAAGCATTCTTCATAATCCTTTAGATGCCTTTAATAAATTGTGGTCAAATTAATTGTGAAAGTTCACTGTCAGATACTACAGTGTGAGGAAAATCATACAGAGGAGTGTTTGTGTTTCAGTAGCCTTTAGAAGGCTACCGTGTCTCACTGGGCTAAAATCTAGGTGTCAGGACCGCGTTCCTTTCTGGAAGTGCTGGGAAGCATTCTGGTTTGTTTCCAGTTTCTAGTGGTTGCCCACTTTCTTTAGCTCATGGCTTCTTCCATCTTTGAAAGGCAGCAGTGTTGCATTTCTCTGACCTTATTCTATAGTCGGAGCTCCCTCCAGTACAGCTGGGGAAGAGGGACCATTAAAGGCCTTTGTGATTGTATCAGGCCTACCCAGTTAATTCAGGAACTCTACCCCTCTCAAGGTCCTTACCCATCCTTAAAGTCCCATTTGCTG